TGCGATCCATAGGAATACATTGGACGCAGTTTTGATCCGGTCTGCACCTGCTCTGGTCCGGATCTGCTCCGCGCTTGGTGTGAACAAGCCCTTATGATCAGTTTCTTGTAAGGACTACTAAACACCAAGGCCTCACAGTTTGAAATGTCTGAGACTAGAACTCCCTGTACTGTGCACATTAACTAACCAGATTCCCTTTCATTCTACTAGCGTACACCAAAAAAACAAATGAAAACTTAGTAGCTGCAAAGGGCAATATATCACCAATGACAAGACCTGTTACTCTAAGGTGTCTATTTTTCTATTTTTAAACAATTTGTATAGCCATTCATACTGCAAATCTCTGAATGTTCATCCTGTGCAAATAGAGGCAAAAACAAATGTTCTACAGTTGGCCAGACACTGTTCTATTTTTTCCTCTCTCTCTTTCTCCTCCAGCAATGCTTACGAATAGGGATGCACCGATACCAAGTAGCATACTCAGTACAAGTACAGATACTTTTCCAGCTCCAAGACTAGACTAGAGAAACATTCTAAAGTTAGGAGGCAGCTGTCATTTATAAGGAGCACACGGGGCGCCTGGGATTTGTACATCTCTGTTTTAATGTATGATTTTGTTTTTATAAATATAAAGGGATGCACAGATACCAGTTTTGCGGGTAAAAGTACTGATACTTGCCCAAGTACTTACAAGTACTGATACATTTTTGTTTTATTGTCATGTGACAGTTTTTCTAAAACAATACAGACTAATGATTTCAGGACAGTGGTGGAGCGCCAGAGCTAGATCCCAGCTGCAACCGCTGCAACCCTGATAGTTCCCATGAAAATGCCAAGTATCGGCACTGGTATCTGAACTGGTATTGGCGCATCCCTGCTTAGGAGTGTTGTTCGAGGAATCCCCGCTGTCCCTACCCCAACAGAGCCAGTAGCTCATTGGCTTCCAGCTCTGTTCGCTGGAAGATTTTTCGACCAGCTGCTTCAATCAGCAGATCGAGGGATGTCACCCGAAAGGGTGCCGACCCACCCACTGTGCGAATTTCGCATAATGTATGCCCAGCCTTAGTATGCTCAGATGAATAAGAAATGGGTATTTATTTTTTTATGCTCCTCAGCTCCATCTAGTGGCCATAATGCAGTATTTTTCGAATGTTACATTTGTCCTGAAATAAAAACAAATGTCTACTTCGAACGTTCATTTTTGCCTTTATTGCACAGAATGAATGTTTACAGAGAATGGCTCTGCAAATTGTTTATAAATAGACCCCTTAGGGACAGTTAAACACAAAATGTATCTAGTATTCTAACCTCAACCTGTAGAGTAGCTGTCCACCAAAATTACCCATTCAGATTTCATGTTATCAAAGATTGTCTAAAGCAATATTTTTTTGTTGTGTCAAGTTTTTACTACATTCTATGTTTCTACTGGGAAGATTCAGCCTCGCTGTTGTCCTGGTGACCATTGTCTCTGTGATGGAAACTATGACTATTGTAAATCAGATGTAATGAAAGTCATGGAAACTAAAATTTTGAGTTGGTACATCAGATGAAATAGATGGAACATCTTTAAACAGGGACACTTGTTCTGACAACTGTCTAAGAGGGTATTTCCATCACTTTGGATATAGTTCCTTTTTTTCCCTGTTGGGTCTACAGGACAGTGAGGGAAAATGTCCCCAATGGGACACAGATGACAAAAGAAAACTGACAGAGGTTTTATCTCACAGAACTTGTGTCTTGTGACTAACTATGTAACACTCTGAAATGGAAAAAGTGACATGTTCTTAGAACTCAATCAATAACACTTTATTGATAACATTTTGAAGAAAAGGTGAAAGCTTATGGTTAGCACAAACCTGGGAAAGCGAAACTGAACATGACAACAAAATATAAGTGCAGAGGTTAGCAGTAAAAACCACATTTTGATATCTGGAGATTCAGAGGTACAAGCAATAAAATGTATATGCAAGTCAGACATTTCTTGTGAAAGTCCTCCTCTGTGCACCAAGGGATTCACATTTGGTAACACTGTACTTAGATACTGCTTGCATTTTCTGTTACAGAGAAATATTCCACCAATATGGTGTGCTTTAAAGTGTATGTTACCCCATAAATTAGGATTTGATATATGTGTTTTTTGTATATAGCTCTTTTTAAACCTAACCTCTAGGCCTCATTCACACGAGAAATAGCCGGCACGTACAGCTCCGTGCACAGCCGTATCAGGCAGCTCCCGGGAAGGACAGGTGCTGCGTGTGATTAGTACGCAGCCTCTGTCCTTCTCTATGGGACTACGCGGTCGTATGCCGCCCTACGCTCACTCGAAGTGCAGGTCTGTACGGGTGCGGGTGTCCCAGCTCGGACGCAGACAGGCCACACTCGCACGGACGGGCAGGGCTGGTGAGCCTAGGGCGGCATATAGCCGCGTACTCCCATAGAGAAGGAAAGGGTCTGCGTACTAACCACACACACCACCTTTCCCGGGAGCTGCCCTAACGGCCGTGCACGCAGCATGGAGCTGTACATGCCGGCTGTTTCTCGTGTGAATGAGGCCCTAATATTTGTATTTATTCTTTGGGAGAAAATACCTGATGATGCTGCCACTTCCCCCTGGATGCTGTTTCAAATTGGCAAGCACGGAAGCAGATCTATGCTGGCATGGTCAGATTGTGTTCCTGCAACCAATGCTATTTTTACAGGATGCATTGCAACCACATGGCATGTCATTATCTAGTTTGGTCAGTTTTGTGGCCCCCAGCACAGCCCTGATGTTGCTGACTGACAGCAGTTCCAAGCTGGATCCTCACTGTCAAAACTGCAGCTGCTTCTGGACACATTCCCCCGTTGTTTGTGACATAAGCCTACCCACCCACTGTATGACATAAGCTCCCACCCACTGTGTGTGGAGTAAGCCACAGAAAGGGAATGTACTGCTGTAAGTGTGTGAAAAAGCCCACCGCCCTACTAAACAAATCCAAAAATAGTTGCCAGCATACCAAAACATATTCTGTCAATTCTTCTTTATTGACAAAAGAAAGGTATGTCACAATGTGTAGCGACATTTCGGAACCATTTTGGTCCCTTCTTCAGGCCAGAGTAGTCCCCTACTAGACAGATGCACCCCAGTCTATGATCAAGGGTGACATGATGAGGCTGTGAGGTCATGTGACCACCAAATAAAAGTAGAACACGGGTAAAATAAAAATTATTTTTAGGAAAGTAAACACATTTGGTCCATACAGTACTATTTTCTTTTTTACAATGGCTGGTAATTGGAATAGGTTTACAAATACTTTAAGGCATGCTGAAAAGTGTGGATCAGTTTGTGCCTACTGGTGAAGTCATCAAAATCTGATCATTCATGTGGAAACCTTGCCATCTTCTTATGGGGACCCATTATGATCACCTTTTGATCCTTCTACACAGAAGCGCGAAGGATTGGGACCAGTGGCGTAACAATCGCCATAGCGAACCAGGCGGCCGCTATGGGGCCTGGCCAGGGCATCCCTCTGATGCTGTGCGGGCCGCCAAGGCATATCAGTGCGCTGGCTGTCACTTGTGGCTGTGAGGCAGAACGCGCCGCTGTTAGATCACTGACAACCTGTCAGTGATGTCTGCAGCGGCGCGTTCTGCCTCCCAGCCGCTGCTGAGCTGTGTCAGTGACAGCCAGCAGCTTCTGCAGAAGACGCTGGATCTGCTTGCAGTGGAGGAGGCGGAGTCTGGCCCGGCAACGTAAGAGGAGGCGGGGCCCATTGATGGAGTAGATGACAGTGCCCGACGATCAAAGAGGAGGGGCCCGGGGGCGGAAGAGGCGGGGCCTGGCGACCACGGAGGCGGACCGCGCTGACAGGTAAGAGGTTTGCAGCCCACCTGAGACCCTCCAGAGCCCGCCATAGAGAGTCTATGGTGGGCTCTGAAGGATCACTCTCAGGTGGGCTGTTTGGTATATCAGGTGGGCTCTGCAAGGGGCATAACTAAAAATCCCAGGGACCCATACAAAAGTTTGCTATGGGGCCCCGTGATTTCTAGTTACGCCCCTGATTGGGACCCTCTTGTAGGGAGACTTTTTAACAAGCTTTAATGAGCCATTGATGGGTATGTGTATCCAACAAAGCATGCTTACACTTGTGCACATAAAAAACAATCAAAGTGTGAAATTAAGTCCGCCTTCACAGCTTAACCTGTATGTGGATTTTATTCTATTACTTCCCTTTTTATTAACTCAAATGAAATACAGTTTCTGGCAAAGGTTTTGCAATCAGAACAATTCCGTTATCTTTTATTCAAATCTATGAGTGTGGCAATGCTTACAGAGTGTGCATACAGAATATTCTGACACATTTCAAGGGCAATGAACTTTGTTTTACCAGAGAAAGCCATAAGATCATCATAGATAGTTCCATTGTACTATGTGTATGGAAATAATAGCTGCACAATAATGTAGTAGGGCCAAAAAGCAGTATTTGTCGTTTTAGGCAAAAGAAAAACTCATTATCCCAATCAGCTGTATAATTATGAATGAAGAATTCACATACACCTCAGATTTAGCTAAAGAGGGCTATTGTACTTTGCACAAAGAATTAACCTCATGCTGATGTTGTTTGAAGTGCTTGCTGGACTAAGTGCAACCAGAATATTACATTGACTCACACATGGAGTCACCAGTTGTACTTTAATACATTTCAGCCACGGATGAAATTGGTAATTTGAAGTCTTTGTCCAGAAAAACAAAACAGCACTGGTGGGAAGGGTGTTTCATTATTACATGGAGGAGTTCAAACTGATGGGAGGATTTCAGATTTTCTACAAACCCACTTTAAAAGATGATTACTTTCGAAAAGACACAGGGGGGGAATTGATCAAAATTGGAGCAGACAGCATCTGAAGGAGTTGTCTATATTAAATCAGCTTCTCTCTTTCATTTTCAAAGCTTAACTGAACAAACTGAAGAGAAGCTGATCGGTTACTACTGGCAACTACTCCTGATTCTGTCTATTTACCTGATTCTTTCCTCGGCGTCTGTAATTCCTTCGTACAAGACTTTTGTAGTTGTCATTCTTTTTGGTTAGGTAGTAGAAAAGAACACAATCAGCCACAGTCTGTGAAACACAGAGAATATCAGCAGATGTTAGTACATTCGTGTCAACACTGAACCATATTTCATGTACTGCAAAAAATGTATTAGTCCATATACTTTAGTTCAGCTGTTTCAAGCTTTATTTTATTTACACTTTGATATATGCTGTGTCCATATAGTCCAGGGATAGACAACATCAGTAGGCCAGCAGTAATGAAACTCCAAATTTCACCATGCGTCTATCACTGGATGTCATGCCTCTGGCTGCCAGGGTCTTGCAACGCCTTTTGGGACTTGTATAGTAGTTCCAAAACGGCGGGAGTGCCAAAAGGTTGTGTACACATTTCACCTCAAAAACCTGCATTTTATAAACTGAAAATGTGGGATGAACCAATACTGGTTTTTCGGTATTCGCCGTTACCGAGTACCGATACTGGTACTTCCAGTATCATGGAGTCGGCTTCCCAGGCAATCAGGAAGCCGGGCAGGTTGTCATTACCTGCTGCCTGGCTTCTTGATTGCCCAGGAAGCTGACTCCATGCTGTTTGGCCGGCTCGATGCTGATTGACTGTTAAGCCGGCTTCCCAGCCAATCTGCATTGAGCCGGCCAAACAGATCTCATAATATGGTGACACAACCTCCACCCTGCAGACACCCCATTCTCCTCACACCCATACCTATCCTCAAGAGCAGTCATTACTGTACCACAGATGTGCAGACACTGCTCACCAAACCGCTTTACCTCTCCCAGATTTGCCCACGTCTCAGTCTTGTGAGATGTACAAACGCCGCCTGACTCCAATGCGTGTACACCGCCCGCACCGCTTGCGTGATCGGCCCTTAGCCAGCTACTGCGCATGCGCAGCCTGCCGAGTGCTCTCACTCAGAAATCCTCTAACAGGATTATTATACCGTTGATCACACAGGCAGTGCGGACGCTGTACACACACTGGAGTCAGGCGGCATTTGTACATCTCGTGAGACTGAGACATAGGCAGATCCAGGAGAGGTAAAGCGGCTTGGAGAGCGGTGTCTGCCCGGCTGGCCGTGGGACATCTGTGTACGGTAATGACTGCTCCTGAAGATGGATATGGGTGTGATGCGAGGGGAATGAGGTGTCTGCAGGATGGAGTTTGTGTCACCATATTACCAGATCTGTTTGGCCGGCTCGATGCTGATTGGCCGGGAAGCCGGCTTCCCAGCCAATCAGCATCGAGCCGGCCAAAAAGAATGGAGCTGGCTTCCGGGCTCCATGGTCCCCCGCGGCAGTGCCGCTCAGAGGAAATATCGCTCTAACCGGAAGTCCCCATATCAGGGAAGGTATCATTGGAGCATTTGGGCGAATATGAGTACTCGCCCAAATACTTGATATCGGTGCATCCCTACTGAAAATGTTGGTGGGGAGTATTTTAGAAACATCAGACATACCCTTTACTAATACACAACAATACTGACAAATATATTTTGAGTTAATGCAAAATATAGAACTGTAGAGTCACAAAATAAGACTTACAAAAATGCATAACTAGAGATTACCCGGAAAAAAAACCAAAAAACGATCTCAAATGAACAAGCAGAGCCAAACATATAGGCGTATTAAGTCATATGTAAATATGGACTTTCAGAACAGTTGACTTTGACCATGCCATTTCTCATGACTTCACCCCTCCCTGTGTAAGTGCTGTTGCCTATCACATTACAGGACCAACAAGGTGGCTTGGGTGAACGCACAAATCTAAATATTTACAGATAAATTAGAGAAATGACTTCTGCTACATACAGTATATCTCTGGATCTGCTGAAACAAACATGGTACTCCCTCTTCCACCATGGTAATACCACATTATGAATTAGCTATTTCCCAGTAGTAATATTTGCCATTGGGCAGATCAGAATCTTTCCAGTGGCCAACATTAGATTTTATAAACGCATCTGATTTTAAACTAATCAGGGAGGGGTCTAGCAAATACAGTTTATATGGCTTTACTACTATAACATAATCAGATTGATTTATTATATTAAAAAGGAGAAAATAACATGAACAACACTGCAGTTGCATGTATAAACTAATCAGCTTTCATTCACCTGAAAAATAAAATAAAATCTGCTGGTCGCCATGGACACCAAATCCAATTTTAAACACTTATTTATTCGCTAAGTTTCCTGTGTCGGACCTAATGTGACAGAACATCCAAGAGAAGGCTGCAAGAATAGCGAATAAACTAATAGAATTGATCAGTTCAAATAATCTTTGGCTTAAAAGCTACCAATCAACACTAAAAAAAGATTGATTTACTTAAATAAATTTAACTGGATTTACAATCAGCATTCCTTGTTCCATTGCAGTGAAAACTGTTGTTTATAGACTAATAAAATAAAATCCAAGCCTTGAAAAGAAGATTCTTTCTTGGAAAGATCATGATATTGTACAACCATTTTGTTATGTGTATGGCAAGATTGAACTACCCACAGACAGACAATGCGCATATCTTCTGTGGTCAATGCTTCAAATTATCCTTTCCTATACTTAAAGTGACACTAAACTCAAGAGTTAAATCTTAAAAACGTACACTATTAATAAAAATGTATCTTATTTGTGCATCACTCAGCTGTAGATCCTCAAATCATCTCTGAATTGGTGCTGACACAGACAGAGACCATGGGGAACAAAAGTAGCGCCCCTCCAGAAGGAAGGAAAGTGTCAGCACCAATTCAGAGATGATTTGGAGGATCTACAGCCGAGTGATACACAAATAAGCTACAACTTTTATAATAGTTAAGGTGCAAAAATGCATTTTTAAGATTTAACTCTTAAGTTTAGCATCACTTTAAAAATGCATTCAAGTACCTTCACTATTAACAAAAATGTATCTTATTTTTGTATCACTCAGCTGTAGATCCTCAGTAGCCACCACTCCAAGCTCGCTCCCTTGATAGACTACAATCTCACATTCAGTTTACTCATTTGTATTGAGATTTTAATCTATCACAGGAGTGAGCTTGGAGCGGTGGTTACTTTACAAACACACAGGAACCATGGGGAACAAAAGTAGCCACCGTCCAGACGGAAGGACAGTGTCAGCACCAATTCAGCGCTGATTTGAGGATCTACAGCTGAGTGATACACAAATAAGATACATTTTTGTTAATAGTAAAAGTACTTAAATAAATTTTTAAGATTTAACCTCTGAGTTTAGTGTCACTTTAATAAAAAAGAAGAATATAGGAAGTAAAACTAAATTTTGGTTTCCCCCTTAGTTTCTGCTGGATATAGAGATTTCGCTTTCAAAATAATATTTAATATAATAATAAAGTTCATTATTATAGGGAGGAGTGATAAATAATGGTATTGTACTTAAGAAAAACCTTGAAACTAAAAGAAATAAAGAATAGGTTTGGGTTTTGGACTTATAGAAAATGGCTGCCAAAGGGTTCAATAGTAATGGAAGTGGTGAGTGTCTCAGAGTTTGGCTTAACTTTTCTCCTCAGCCCAGAGTTTGGCTTAACTTTTCTCCTGGACTCCGTACACAGGCTTGGCGGGAATCTTCAAGTAACGTATGAACGGGAGTTATGTCATGAGGACCTGGCCAATCAAGTGGAGGAAGACTCAGAACCTGGAAGAAGACCTGAACGAATATGGAAGCACTGGCGAGGGAGGTGAGGGAGGTGAGTGTGGACATCAGGGCTGGAGGAGATCATTTTGATGGGCAAGACTGCCATAATGTGCTAATGTGCTAATATGCTGTTATAGTATGGCTAAAAGCTCCAGGGGGGGCCCTTCTTTTCAGGTTTACGTCCCCTTTAAACAGACTGAAAACAACACATGCAACAAAAACGCTCCTCAGACAACTATAAAAAATGAATATTAGTACCTTTCTCTCCAAGAATGAAGCAATGAACACAAAGTTCTTTGGTTGCTGGATGAATCTGTAATGAGAGAAACATAACAGCTTAGACTAAACACCTTATTGAACTCCCAATTCCCATCACACCGCATGTGTCACATCAATAATACACAAAGACAAGTTCCTTCCATCACTCCTGTCCCAGCACCAACACCTTGCCCCCACGCTGTGCATTAATGCTGTCAATGTGCAAGCAGAGCTCAGATATGCCTTAGACAAAAATAAGAAGTTTGTCCTGAGGAAGTGTGAGGCTTAAACTGCTGAACTTGTTTCATGGCTTTCTGATCCAGTTGCTAAATTAATTATTATTATGAGTCAACAATCTAGAAATGCTGATCAGGATTTGTGACTTCATTCTGCCTTTCTGATCTGCATGCTTATTCTGAACCTAGAGAAGGCCAGGCAACAAGATCATATCCAGTGTTTGGGATACAAAACAAAATTTTAACTATTTACGGGAAATATTTAACAAGCCAAGTATTGTTTTTAAACCAGTTTTCCAAAATATGCCGAAAAGGGAATGTAGTGTGCAGTTATTGTGGGTAGACTGTTTCGGGTTAGATCATTCGATAATAATATTACATGCTGGCAATTAGGTGGTATTATTATAATAAGAACCATTACAACTGAAGCTGAACTATGTATAATAAGATAATTTAGATATATTCGTCAATAGCCAAAAAAGATATAAATGTACTTTGTGTGCTCCAAATGCCTTTGCAAACCCAAATATTAGGCTAGGTTCACACCAGCTGCAGTGCGTTCCGCTCCGATTCTGGCCAGAACGCACGGCATCGCATTGCGTCGGCTCACTTTTTTGCGGGTCAGGAGGGGGCGTGGTGGGCCATTGAAGTGAATGGCACCGTAGCCATGTCCTCCGGCCGCAAAGCGATCGTCCGAACGGGATCACAAGGCACAAGGCACCGGTCCAGTCCGGTGCGGTCAAAATAGTGCTTGCAGCATTTTTATTGCACCGGACCGCAGGCCCCCGCAAAAAGTTAGCTTGCCCGCAATACGATGCAGTGCGTTCTGCCCAGAATCGGGCCGGAATGCACTGCATCTGGTGTGAACCTAGCCTTACTTTGTCGCAGTGACATAATCATTGTCCTGTACAAAACCTGTGCAGAGAGCAGAGCTGTGGAAGGGACCCAGCAGCTCCACCCATTACAGGCTGCTTGCAGAAAACTACAGGAGGGGGCAGATACAAGACCAATCACACCGCACAAGGAGAGAGAGCATCAGTGAGCGGTCTTTATTACAGGAAGCTCCTGCACAAAGGCAACATTTTACCCTGAATTACTGCACAGATCTGTAAGAAATACACAAAGCACACCAAGATTCAAGTAAGACTACACATGGCTCTTGTAATTAGGAATTATTTGCTTATCCTGGAGTTCAGCTTCATTATATTATAAGCACCATTACTCCCCCATTGTAAAACCTGATGCCCAGCTGTTAGAAATCCTATTGCTTATTAGCTGCATCTTCTTGTATATCTTTGTATGGCTATAGAAATAAACTATTTGGATATACATAACATCTGATTTATCTGTAGTATTATTGTTCATAACAACCAGATCTCTTACTTCTTTCTCAGAGAATTTAATTAAAAAAACCTACTAATTGCTTTGGATAGCAGTACCACTTCAGCTCTAGTTTTCACAAATCAGCCCTATGTGCGTTTCAAAGATGACAGCAATCGTCTACTTAAATTATAACATTTTGCACTGATGTTAGTGCAGAACGGAGAGTGGCGAGACTGGTACAGACAACAGAAAGGCAACAGTGCAGTGTCAGATTCCTCGCATCACCTTTCAACATCTCGTGGAGTCACGAGGCAGCCCAACAAAGTCATCTCGTGGCCCAACGAAGTACTGATGGGGTGGTCATAATAATCTGGCCTCTCAGTGTGTGTACAATAACATGGTAGTAGAAACTCAAGCTGATGAAGGTCCTGCTCAGAAGAGCTCGCAAGCTAAGAGGAAAAAAGTAGGAAACAAAAGGTGCAGGGGACTAATAAGGTACTATACAAGACTCAAATCACAAAACAGTTTGAAGCAGTGTGTTTTTAGAGCCTGTATAGAGGCTAGGAGGTTACGCTGAGCATCTTTATTATTGGGTGCAATGCTGAGTGTTCCTAACATGAAAATAACAGGCAGTAGTGTGCCGCTAAATGGGTAGGGAGTTGTTAAATGCTTCCTGTTAGATGCACCTCTTCATCTTAGGACTCATTCACACTTGCACTTCTGTGGTTCACTTTTTTAAATGCAGATGAAGTTATCTGGTAAGTATAAACAACTTTTAATTACTTCCCGATCACTTGTTTCTACATTTAGATGTTCTTTAAGTGATATTAAGGTCAAAAGGTCTTAAGCTATTTTAAATACTGATTAAATCTCTTACAATGGATTCTGCTCCTTGATGTTTATAAGTTATAGCTTTCTGCAGAATCAGCTGGTCCCCTGAGTACTGGCTCTGATATCCTGTTTTAGGGTGAGTCCTTTTCCTTGCAGGATCCTATGGAGTCACCCTTGTGTGTACTAGTAAGCTGTGGGTGTTTCCACAAACACACAGGAACAGCAAGGCCAGACACCCCCAGTTCTCTACTTCCCACTTCTCCAAGTCAGTAGATGGACAGCTGCTGAAGACTGTACTGTCCCTTATGATCTTGTACTGGACAGACAATGCAGGGAAGGAGAGCTGAGAGAGTTGGAGCTGTTTAGAAACATGATGACTAAGTGCTTGGGCAAAAATGTAAACTAATACATACTTTGCTGGGCAATATACTGTATATTTGATCTGAATTCATTATTGAAAAAATGTTTGAGAGTTTAATACTACTTTAAAGCCACATTTACATGTGTTTAGCCATGTTCAGAGTTTCTAATCGGATCTTGGATGCACAGAATTCTATTTTCTCTAAACTGAATGCAGGTAAATACAAAGTCTAAATGGCACAAATGAAAATCAATGACATTTACATGTATTTAGAAATGTGCTCTAAATTCCTTTTAACATAGGTTTGGCATTGCCTGTCTGAATAAGGACCAACTGTACACCCTCTGTATCCATTTCATCATGTTAGATATAATCGTATTAGATGTATCTGAACTTGTGCCTGAAATCTGTATGTAATTTAAAACTTTAACAAAGGATAATTGATTATAAATGAGATGGTAGGTCAAAGAAAACCCCAAGACAGATCAGTTGGGCAATATGTGCCACCGATGTGCCTAGGGTTAATAGACATGCAGAACATCTACAGGCTGTCTTCATCTTCTTGTTGTTATGTCTGGTGCTTCACTGCAGACATATTAAGATACGTTAAGTCATCCCTTATTAAAACACTTTTCACGGTGGCTGTGGTTGATGAGAAAAAGAAGCTTAAAATTGCCAGCAAAGAACCTGTCTAGGTGACTTTAATTTTTAGTCTGTTTATTTTTGCAATGTGATTAATTGTACACTGGACAGAGCTCTTCTACACCACTGAGCTGCAGTATCATTAGTTAGGATATTTTACTTGGTTAAACAGCATTCAGTGCTGGCCCTGATCAACACAGGCAATTATTTAAGTATGACATGTATGGTTCTTTTTAGTCCAGGTTTCAAGGGAGCGATTATCACATTAACAGAACAAGGCTCTATGAGGCACTATTAAATGTGCAGGCATTATCATACTGGAAGTACTGTCCTCTATATAATAATGCACGTTCTCAGAACATTCTGGAATATTCCTTCAGTTATTATTTCTTTCCGTGCACTTAGTACAATTCTCATAGAAACAAATGTTTAGACAAAATACACCAACAAACCCACAATACAGCTATAACCTAACACCAATACCAGAAGTGAAAATATATGGCTTCCGCTTTACCATTTCATTTTCTTCCTGGATATTTGTCGGCTTAAATTTCATTTTAGTTACTCACTTCCTGTAAAAAAATACCACAGCCAGCTATTTGATTTCCCATACTGGTTAAACTGCTTGTGTTATAGGGTTTTCATTAGGGGTGCACCGGTACCAAGTATTTGGGCGAGTACTTGTACTCGCCCAAATGCTTCGATGCCTAGCCCGATAACCGAATTTTCGGTATCAGGAAGCCAGGCAGCGAGTCATTACAAGAGGGACACTAATTCTGGTGATCCTGCTGACAATTAGGGATTTCCTTCTCTTTGAAAGGGTTTACTCTCATTTCCTGTTGTGGCTATTGGACATGAAGTGAAGGGAAATCTCCCCAATGGGACACAGATGGCAAAAATAAAGCCAACGAGGGTTATAACATTCCCTTACTTTATCCAAAACTAAAAAAAAACAAAAAAAACAAAAAAAAACTGTTCCGACTTCAGTTCTACTTTAATATTTTGTTCTGCACTGCTGGACATGTGATGTGGATTTAGGAGGGGGCTCCAGTTTTGGCTACAGTCCTACTGTAAGTAAACTACTGTACAGATACCAATACCTCTTTATAACCAGAGGGGCAGACATATTAGAGTACATCACCCTGAATCTTGGTAACTAGAATGACAGGAGGTTCAATTCTGCAAATCCTGGAAATGGACATGGCAACAGAACTTTCAATGCTGTTTTTTTGTCAAAATCACAAAGCAATTGAAGAGAAAAAACGCAGTGAGGTGAGATCAAATTCCCCTGATTCAACATGGTTGGAAAAGGAACATTTTTGTTAGTAATATATAAGTAGAGTCTGTAAAATAAATGATATAATACACCTATTTTAAAGAAAATAAAAGCTTTTTGATGAAAACTATACAAAGCTGTATTTAGCCTTTTAGAAACATTCATGGAGTCATGGATATTTCTTAACAATTCTATTCCGATGAGTCTGAGTAAGCAGACTAATTTATGAAGAATGTTGCAGTGATTTTGTTGCATCCTCTAGAGGAGAATGATTTACTAGAACAAGAGAAGATTGATTGCATGTGGTCAGCCTTGGAAAAATGATTTTTAACAATTACAATACTTTCTAGCCCCCACGGTTACATTCTACAGCTATCATAATCCAC